TATGCTGCCTTACACGCTGCACGCCAACTTTTCCGACGTCAAGGTTTGTGACTGTGTGACTGTGTTCCTAGCAGCTGACTAGGGTTGTATGTGAGCCAGTGTGTGGGCCCGGGCTTAGAGCGCGTGTTACAAGAGTTCCTTGTAGCCGGCGCCTTTGCGCTTACGCGGCGCACGCTGCCCGCGTCTGCGCTGCCACTTATGCGTATGCTGCCTTACACGCTGCACGCCAACTTCGCTGACGTCAAGGTTCGTTACTGTATGACTGTGTTCCTAGCAGCTGACTAGGGTTGTGTGTGAACCAACGCATTGGTCCGGGCTTGGAGCGCGTGTTGACTGACATCAAGGTTTGTTATTGTGTGACTGTGTTCCTAGCAGCTGACTATTGTTGTGTGTGAACCAACGCGTGGGCCCAGGCTTAGAGCGCGTAGTGCAAGAGTTTCTGATAGCCGGTGCCTTCGCGCTCACGCGGCGCACGCTGCCCGCGTCCGCGCTGCCGCTCATGCGCATGCTGCCTTACACGCTGCACGCCAACTTCGCTGACGTCAAGGTTCGTTACTGTGTGAATGTGTTCCTAGCAGCTGACTAGGGTTGTATGTGAACCAACGCGTGGGTCCGGGCTTGGAGCGCGTGTTACAAGAGTTCCTTGTAGCCGGTGCCTTCGCGCTCACGTGGCGCACGCTGCCCGCGTCCGCGCTGCCACTCATGCGCATGCTGCCTTACACGTTGCACGCCAACTTCGCCGACGTCAAGGTTTGTGACTGTGTGACTGTGTTCCTAGCAGCTGACTATTGTTGTGTGTGAACCAACGCGTGGGCCCAGGCTTAGAGCGCGTAGTGCAAGAGTTTCTGATAGCTGATGCCTTCGCGCTCACGCGGTGCACGCTGCCCGCGTCCGCGCTGCCACTCATGCGCATGCTGCCTTACACGCTGCACGCCAACTTCGCCGACGTCAAGGTTTGTTACTGTGTGACTGTGTTAATAGCAGCTGACTATTGTTGTGTGTGAACCAACGCGTGGGCCCAGGCTTAGAGCGCGTAGTGCAAGAGTTTCTGATAGCTGATGCCTTCGCGCTCACGCGGCGCACGCTACCTGCGTCCGCGCTGCCACTCATGTGCATGCTGCCTTACACGCTGCACGCCAACTTCGCTGACGTCAAGGTTTGTTACTGTGTGACTGTGTTCCTAGCAGCTGACTAGGGTTGTATGTGAACCAGAGCATTAGTCTGGGCATGAAGCGTTTGCTACAAGAGTTCTTGGTAGCCGGCGTCATCGCGTTCATGCTGCGCACGCTGCCCGCTAAGCTCGCTGACGTCAAGGTTATCTATGTTTACTTATTCCTCTGGAAATTCGCCATTTGCCACTGTCTCGTCATCTATTCTCTACTTACATAGATAAATTAACGGACGATTGGGTACAAAATCTTAAAAGTGTTGAAACATCTAAAAGATCTCATTTTGTTGACCAGCAGTGTTGTGTTGTGGAGCCATCCACACGTTAGCCCCAATGTTGATCCCGGCGCTATTCGTCCCACGTGTGAATCTAGAAAATAACTTATCATAACGTTGGAGCCAATACTTCTACTAATTTCTGGTTCCACACGTTGGACGAGTGGGGCCAACGTTGGGGCCAACTTGGGGAGCCGGCTTCAGCAGTCAAAAAAACAAATGAAGATCATGATTCAAATTTCAAAATTTTCTCTAGGTTGGCAGCACAGTAGTGTCGGTGAGCCAGGAGAAGCTGTGGAGCGGCGCGGCCGTGGTGCTGGCTCCTCGACAGCGCGTGCTGCAGTTCGCGGAAGATGTTTGGACGCGCGTGTGGGCCGCGCTGCACGCGCCGCCGCCGCCGCGTCTTGCGCCCGCTCAAGTGCTGGAGAAACTACGTGTCAGCCTGCATTGCTACCAAGTCAGTTCGTAGACAAATGACATCCACTGCTAGACTTAGTGCTACTAAAGCCTGGTCCGTGAGCACGTAGAATCCCGTCCAATCCGCTCGCACACTCACTGCGGACGCGCGTCGCACAGTCGCGACAGCAATATAATTACGCGCGAGCGATAAGGATGGGTAGCTTGGGGTCATTGGACGGGATTCTACGTGCTCACGGACCAGGCTTTAGCTAAACTGTAGCTTATGTAGTCGTAATAGACGCTTCTTCACATTGGTCAGTGAGTGTAGGGAGGACGTGTGGACGCGCGTGTGGGCCGCGCTGCACGCACCGCCGCCGCCGCGCCTTGCGCCCACGCGGGTGTTAAAGAAGCTGCGCGTTAGCCTGCACTGCTACCAGGTTAGTTCGTTACAAATGACATACACTGCTGGACTTAGTACTGCGAGCTAAACAGCAGCTTATGCCCTTGTAATAGATGGCTGAAGTACCATCTATTACAAGGGCATAAGCTGTAACAGATGTGACAGTGAGTGTACCGAAGACGTCTAGACGCGCGTATGGGCTGCGCTGTACGTTTAAAATACAGCTTATGTTGCTATAAATGCTATAGTCCTACAACATCGTGCGCCACCGTCATGCGGTGCACAAATGGTAGCGGGGACGAGGTAGCACCAATAGCACGTGTCACGTAGCAGTTGACATATTGATACCTCCGCGGATACTTTTGGGGAGTCGCGGTCTTCACTCAAGCTCTCTTATATCCAAACGGTTTATAGCAACAGGTCAATGTCATCGTCATCATCTGTCTCTATTGCAGGATCGTGACCCTTTCCAATTAACCGAAGCAAATCGAGAATTTGGCCTGGGGAGTGTAGGCTTAGTTGCATCCACGGGAAGGGTGGGCTGTATCGTAGTGAGCAATGTATTCTACTCTGTCAGAAGTACGCGGCTAATGACGTCGAATATACTTGTAGCCGGGGGGCGCGGGTGGGCGCGGCGCGCTTCGGCGTCGGCGCAGGACCTGCTGCCGTTCTTTGGCATCTCAATGATGATGAATTTGCAATATACTTGTAGCCAGAGGCCGTATCGCTGTGCAACACGCCTTTGTGAAAATCCTTGGTGGCCTTTGTCCAGCAGTGGACGTCTTTTGGCTGAAACGAAACGAACGAGGATGAATTTGCAATAGACAATTTGACACCATTCCCCAATAATTCGAAATCACAACTTTTCTAAAAAGACACTTCATTCTGGTCTTAAAAACTTAATTAATTTTAAATTACCTGTAAATTACGATTTTAGGTCGCATTGTAATTGAAAAAAGTAGTTTAATTGAGTTGACAATAGTAACGTCACTTGCTCGTAGTGCCATACAAAATCTATGGGAGAGTTTCGTTTTGACAGTTTAAAAGTACGTCAATTGATTGGTGGTGTCAACATATTACTTGCAGCCAGAGGCGGTCTCCCGCTGCAGCACGCCGCTGTCGCCGAGCGGCGCGGGCGGCGCAATCGGCGCGGGCGCGGGCGGGTGGGCGCGGCGCGCGTCGGTCTCGGCGCAGGACCTGCTGCCGTTCTTAGGCATCTTAATGATGATGACTTTGCAATGAGGGCTATCGTTTTAGCGCTCACCAGTTAGCGCCACTGTAGAGTAAGGTCCTGTCACTTGCTAGTAGCGAAGACAGTGGCACCAACTGGTGAGCGCGAAAGTGGTAGGAGGACTATCGCATTTGCACTCATCAAGATGGCGCCACTGTAGAGTAAGGTCCTGTCAATCGCCAGGGGTGCCAATTGTTAAGTATAAAAACGATAGCCCTCATTGCTTGCAGCCAGAGCCCGTATCGCTGTGCAACACGCCTTTGTGAAAATCCTTGGTGGCCTTTGTCCAGCAGTGGACGTCTTTTGGCTGAAACGAAACGAACGAGGATGAATTTGCAATAGACAATTTGACACCATTCCCCAATAATTCGAAATCACAACTTTTCTAAAAAGACACTTCATTCTGGTCTTAAAAACTTAATTAATTTTAAATTACCTGTAAATTACGATTTTAGGTCGCATTGTAATTGAAAAAAGTAGTTTAATTGAGTTGAAAATAGTAACGTCACTTGCTCGTATAGATGACCCACGCTGAACTGTCCCACCAAACTCAATGACAGGGGGGCGCTACCATCGCTCAACTATATGGTATCCAACATGGCAAAAATCGGAACCAGCGATCCGGTTATTGACGGTGGCGCCCCGCTGTTAATGTCATGCATAGGACAGTTCAGTATTTTGGAACTATAGTGCCATACAAAATCTATGGGAGAGCTTCGTTTTGACAGTTTTAAAAAGTACGTCAATTGATTGGTGGTGTCAACATATTATTTGCAGCCAGAGGCCGTCTCCCGCTGCAGCACGCCGCTGTCGCCGAGCGGCGCGGGCGGCGCAATGGGCGCGGCCCAGGACCTGCTGCCGTTCTTTGGCACCTCAATGATGATGATTTGCAATTGATCGCTTGCAGCCAGAGCCCGTATCGCTGTGCAACACGCCTTTGTGGAAATCCTTGGAGGCCTGTGTCCAGCAGTGGACGTCTTTTGGCTGAAAGGAACGAACGATTCTGTTATTTGCAGCCAGAGGCGGTGTCCCGCTGCAGCACGCCGCTGTCGCCGAGCGGCGCTGGCGGCGCAATCGGCGCGGGCGCGGGCGGGTGGGCGCGGCGCGCGTCGGCGTCGGCGCAGGACCTGCTGCCGTTCTTCGAGCTGGACGTCTGCACTGCGAGTCGACAGGAGCACGTCATAGCCGCGGTGAGATTTGTTCTATTGTTGATTAGTTAATCTTTTAATGGCTTATTTCACTAATACCCGTTGACCATCCCCGTTGACGCCAATTGAAGCTTATAATAATGGGGATTAATGAACTAAAAATTAAGTCCAAAAACTGTTTTTATCTAGTGTATTTGTAATTTTCTCCATTTATCGCAAAGGAGTTTCGTGGTGGTTAACTCAACCTCACCACTTAGTTTTCAGGCTTATCACTACCTTAAAAATTTAAATCACAAAATTTAACTCAACTTTATCTTGCGTGCTTAGAATCTACGTGAGTTGAGATCCACTTGGTGATTGACAGCGGTTGCGAGTAATGTTTAGAGCGGCGTGCACGCGGTGAACTAACGCCGAGCACGCACCTGATGTCCTCGGTAGCTAGCTGCCGACGATATTTAGTACGGCATGCAAGCAGTCATCGAGTACGTGTAGCCACGTACGCATCTCGCGCATTAATCCTTTGGCTACGCAATCAATTACGAGTATCAACCTTGCACCTGATGCGGTCAGCGGGCGCGGGTGCGAGCGGCGTGGAGAGCGGCGTGCACGCTCTCTGATTACTGAGCCTTTAGCTATAATCAATTATCGACCTTATTCCTCGCGGCAAAGACCCTGCGCGTGGTAAGCGTGCACCTCATACGCTCGTCGACGGCGGGCGAGGGCGGTCTCAATGACTTTAGCTACAATCAATTATCGACCTTATTCCTCGGGCATAGAACCTGCGCGAGGTGAGCGTTAACCTCATACGCTCGTCGACGGCGGGCGAGGGCGGTCTCAATGACTTTAGCTACAATCAATTATCGACCTTATTCCTCGGGCATAGAATCTTCGCGAAGTAAGCGTGCACCTGATGCGGTCCGCGGGCGCGGGCGCGGGCGGCGTGGAGAGCGGCGTGCACGCGGTGGCCACGCGCTGGGCGGCGGCGCAGCTGGACGCGTCCATGTTCACACGTTCTATGTCTTACATGTGCATTCAATTATCAATCTTATTCTTTGCGGCATAAGACCTGTAGGCTGAGTGTGAGTTTACACCAAACGTCATTAAAAAATGTATGAAAATTTCGTTTTTGAACGTTTCCCGCTAGGCGCGCTGTACAATCGGTCATACATTTAATATCATTTTTTGACGCGCTCACTAGTGAGCGCGTTTGATGAAAACTCACACTAGGCACGGGGAGAGCGGCGTGCACGCTCTCTGATTAGCCTTTTTAGCTACAATCAATTATGAACCTTATTCCTCGGGCATAGAACCTGCTGCGGTCTCCTGGCGTGGGCGCAGGCGGCGTGGAGAGCGGCGTGCACGCTCTTTATTACTTAGCCTTTAACTACAATCAATTATCGACCTTATTCCTCGCGGCATAAAACCTGCGCTTGACGGCGGTAGCGTTTAGCATTTAGCTGCAATCAATTATGAACCTTATTCCTCGGGCATAGAATCTTCGCGAAGTAAGCGTGCACCTGATGCGGTCTGCGGGCGCGGGCGCGGGCGGCGTGGAGGGCGGCGTGCACGCGGTGGCCACGCGCTGGGCGGCGGCGCAGCTGGACGCATCTCGCACAGTCCATGTTCAAAGCCAAACGTTCTATGTCTTACATGTCCATTCGATTAAGAGCCTTATTACTCACGGCATAGAACCTGTGCATGGAGAGCGGCGTGCACGCTTTCTGATTAGCCTTTTTGCTACAATCAATTATGAACCTTATTCCTCGGGCATAGAACCTGCGTGAAGTAAGCGTGCACCTGATGCGCTCGGTAACGGGCGCAGGCGGCGCAACTGAACGCGTCTCGGGCGACCCCTTATTACTTACGCAATCAATTATCAACCTTATTCCTCGGGCATAGGACGCTCTCTGTTTAGCCTTGGTAGCTAAAAAAGCTGCAATCAATTATCGACCTTATTTCTCACGGCATAGAATCTTCGCGAGGTGAGCGTGCACCTGATGCGGTCCGCGGGCGCGGGCGCGGGCGGCGTGGAGAGCGGCGTGCACGCGGTGGCCACGCGCTGGGCGGCGGCGCAGCTGGACGCGTCTCGCGCAGTCCATGTTCAAAGCCAAACGTTCTATGTCTTACATGTGCATTCAATTATGAGCCTTATTCCTCGCGGCATAGAACCTGCACGAGGAGAGCGGCATACACTCTCTCTGATTAGCTTTTTTAGCTACAATCAATTATGAACCTTATTCCTCGCGGCATAGAAAGAAACTGCGCGTAGAGAGATGCTTGCACGCTCCCTCATTCCATTATCGACCTTATTCCTCGGGCATAGAACCTGCGCAAGGTGAGCGTCCGCCTAATGCGCTTGACGGCAGTCACGAGCAAGTTTAAAGCAGCGCGTGCACGCGGTGAACAAGCGCTGAAAAGCAGCGCAACTGGACACATCTTACGTCTTCCATGTTCACACGTTATGATGCTTAGGTACGCAATCAATTATGAACCTTATTCCTCGCGGCATAGAACCTGCGCGAGGTGAGCGTGCACCTGATGCGGTCCGCGGGCGCGGGCGCGGGCGGTGTGGAGAGCGGCGTGCACGCTCTGATTACTTAGCCTTTAGCTACAATCAATTATCGACCTTATTCCTCGCGGCATAAAACCTACGCGTGGAGAGCGGCGTGCACGCTTCCTCATTCAATTATCGACCTTATTCCCCGGGCATAGAACCTGCGCGAGGTGAGCGTGCACCTGATGCGCTTGACGGCAGCCACGAGCAAGTTTAGGGCGGCGCGTGCACGCGGTGAACGAGCGTTGAGAACCTGCGCAACTGAACACATCTCACGCCTCTTGCGCGCTCTCTAATTACTTAGCCTTTAGCTGCGCAATCAATTATGAACCTTATTCCCCGGGCATAGAATCTTCGCGAAGTAAGCGTGCACCTGATGCGGTCAGCGGGCGCGGGCGCGGGCGGCGTGGAGAGCGGCGTGCACGCGGTGGCCACGCGCTGGGCGGCGGCGCAGCTGGACGCGTCGCGGTCGTTGTGCCGTGCCTTGTGCCGCGCGGTGGCAGCGACGCCGGCTTCCAACCAGCAGAGAGGATTCACTTTCATGTACTTATTGCGTGGTATAAGGCTGGCAACGTTATTTTTTTTTGTTCCATTCGTTCCTTATGCAACAGGCTAAGGTCAGAGACCATGCTGCCTAGTCATCAGTAATCTTCTTATTTTTTTCATTTCCAGGGTAGCTTCATTGTTATCATAGAGGAATTAACGACAGGAGTGGAACTGACAGGCAATCCCCTCTAGCAATGTAACTAGTTGCAGCGCCACCAATAACATATTCCGAATGCTGGCAACGTAAAAGTCTCACTCAAAACTCATTTTATTTCTTCTTCTTCTTTTGTTGATGGCGATGAACTTGTGCCTTTTCGCCACTGTTCCGCCAATGTCACGTGAATTTTTATTTTTGCAAGTAGCCTTTTAAAAAGCACTTTACACGTCCCAGATTAACTCAATCCCTGCTTCGGGACAATAAATGGGCCAGTGCTGAGAAGAAGTAACCTTTACACGTCCCAAATATAGCTTGCCTGCCAGCGTCTTTCCGTTCTATACATGGCCAGAACGCACCCATAGGAAACTGCTCGTGTATATTTCGGAGTGCCTGTTTGTAAATCTGTGACTCCAAACTATACACGAATTTTGCGTACTGATCGTGTATAGTTTGGAGGAGCTTAGTAAAAAAAGTCATCTCCAAACTATACTCGATTAGTTTCTACTACACCACTTACACTTGACTAGAGTGTGTTTAGTTGATATTGATTTAGTAAAATTCAGTAAAATATGGAACTATATTTAAAATTACATTTATTTGATATTATTACATAAAATATTATTATTTTACTGAATCTAAAATAAATCTAGATTTTTAAAACTATTGTAAGTGGTTTTTGAAATTAAATTGATTAGGTAGATTTCAAATTAAATAACAATTTAATTAATATGAGAGAGAGTGAGAAAAGAAAGTTCAACGCGCATTAAATACAATATTATGCGAGACTTTAAATGCTAGGTTTGTATTGTCGGCCGTTTGGTGTAGTGGTTCGAAGTGGTAGCGGGTTCGATTCCCGCACAGTACAAACATTTGTGTGCATGAACATATTTGTTTGTATTGGACTGGGTGTTTTCTATGTATAATAAGTATGTATTTACAAAAAAAAGTATTTAATTATGTTTATATCCGTTGTCTAGTACCCATAGTACAAGCTTTGCTTAGTTTGGGACTAGAAGCGCAGTGTAAAATGTCTAAGGATATTTATTTATTATTTATTTTATTTATTAACTTTTATCTCAAGAACAAAATCATTTTGACATATTTCCATACCTACAATTGGTGAAATATCAGCCCCAAAACAAATATCTTTTCTATGGCAGAATNTATACATTGTAATCACGCACTTATTACAATACATACATGATTAGTCCGTATGCGTACTGGCGATGTATATTTTGGAGGAAGATAATTGACCTAAGTCACTACAAAGTATACGCGAGCAGTACGCAGCGTATGCGTACTGGTCGTGTATAGTTTGGAGGAGCTTAGTAAAAAAAGTCATATCCAAACTATACTCGATTAGTTTCACACCCTTGCGTTCTGGCTATGTATAGAATGGAAAGACGCTGCCTGCCATACCACCAATTTGGGACAATATATCGGCTAGCCTAGCCTATAACTATACGTGGTAGAAAAAAAAGCTTCCTTTGTTAGCGTAAGCAACAGTAAATCTATTTATGAAGTTATCGCCACTATTGCTGCATATTCTTAACGTTTTAAATGTGAACTGCTGCTGGGTTAAAACTTATTCTTAAGAACATACTTTCAAGGAACTTGAAAACAAGAGCGAATAACACGTCCTTCAGATAACAAAAGTAAAGTTTTTTAAGATATTCTATATTTTTTTAAATAAAAATACGTTGCCAACATTTTTACTACGTTTAGGGCTAGTGTTTGGTCGCTTCTTGTGTCGTGGTTTTATTTTCGTTTTGTTTGGTTTTAGCTGTTGGTGTTTTATTATGGGTTTCAGTGTTTTTGGTTTATTTGCAGGTTTTGTCTTTTGTGGTTTTTGTTTTTGGGCTTTTTACACGCAGAAATTCTTTCATATCTACACGCATTTTTATAATACTTTTTGGAGGTTTTTAGTTTTAATTTTTGCACCGAAAACATTCTCATCTCTACATTATTGTGTTTTAATTGGACTAAATGGTTGACACCGGCATTCCACCTCACTCCCACAAATACTGGTTGAATCACAGCTTACGGTTTGGGGGTTGATTCATTAAACGTCATTCATTTTTAAAAAGACTCTCGAATAAGGTCACGAACAGCTTTGGCATCGAATAATCGTATTTTTTTAAATTAATATCTGAAGAGTTACGATACTTTGTTTGTTTGTATACGGCGAAAGTAAAGTAAATCATCTATCGTTTGCGATCAAAAAGCGTCGTATCTTTTTAACTGTAAGCCTCTTCAAGTTTAATTATTTTGAAATAACAATCTCTTTCTGTGCTTGATCGAGCAAGATAGATTCGTTATCCGTATTACAGGCTATGGCTTAACGAAAGCGATTTTTAGCGTCTCTGAACATTGTTGCTGTAATTCGTCAAATCCCCAAATGAAACCCCTTTAAGACCATTTGGTACTTTAAGACCATTTACCTTTCCCAATTCAAAGAAGCCTCTAATAATTAGTTTAACTTATCAGTTAAACCTCTCAATTCCAGTGACGAGATGGAACCGAGCCACGCGTTCATAGTGTTCAAAGTGCTCGAGCAGTACTATTTGGCAGCTGACTCGCTAGCCTTCCCGCTGCCACAGGGCTTCAGTTCTTTCTTCACGTACTTGGGCTACCGCACGCTGCCCTTCCACGCGTTCGTCATGTATGTGCATAGGAACGTGTTCGAGCTGCAGATTGACGTCATGAAGGCTATTATTGCTTGTAAGTACCAGTTTCGATTTATTTACTTATGTTTAAGTCATGGATTAGTAAATTAGAACTTCCCAAGCGGGACATTTGAGTGTTGTCCGTAAGTGCGAAGTGGGGCACAGACAGGTCTGTTGGACGAGGGACTATTAGATAATTGGGTCGATTGCAGACTTGGATTATTATCTTTGCTCGGAATTGATAACTTGAACTGATTTAGTGTTTATCTTGGTGTCACGTTTATGGCCTGACCTCGGAGGATCGTCAAATAGATTCTATTTCGTTCTTGTTCGATGTTCCGGATCCTAATTCTATGTCGAATTATTAAACCAAAAGGGGGTTCAGGAAATATGGTCATTCTTAACTGCGAGAGCACAGCCCTATCTAATTTACCAGAGACAAATGAATGGATTTGTCCTACACTCTTCACGTAAGCTATAAGGGGTGGGATGGCTTATCTATTTCAGATTAAACATAAGGTCTAGTATACGCTAAATTTATTACTGATTGAATTTCTACGTGATGTCGTTGGTTCACCTTGTGAGTGGTCGTCTCACGCTGCGTTTTCCGGTACGCGGCCTCCACTCCAGAACCTTGCTGCCCCATCGGCCGTCAGTTTTGAGTACTATGTGCCCTGCTCATTGCCACTTGAGCTTGCTAATCCGTCGGGCTCGGCAACCGGGCAACATGGAAAGCATTGGGGGAGGCCTATGTTCAGCAGTGGGCGTCCTATGGCTGAGATGATGATGATGAATTTCTACGGTTTTTTCTACGATGTTAAAACTATCTCATATCTCTATTCCAGCCAAAGACGACGACAGCAAAAACTCCGTGAACAACAAGCTGCGCCTAGTGCAGTTGGCAGGCGAGGGCCGCGCACGCCGCGCTCTCGGTGCATGGCCTCATCGCGCTGCCCTCGTGTTACGCGCAAGGGACCATGCCGCCACGCTGCTTAGTGGAGGAGCGCCAGCTGCGAGGGATCCTGCGCGTGCGAGACAGGCTGCGCACACCGGTTAGTACATAAAAAGAACAAACGGTATGATTATAGACGTAACGCTTGTTACGTATAGTGCAGCTGCGAGCTTTCGGCGCCTGGCCGCATCGCGCTGCGTTAGTACTGCGCGCGCGAGACCATGCCGCCACGCTGCTTAGTGGAGGAGCGCCCGCTGCCAGGGATCCTGCGCGTGCGAGACAGGCCGCTCATACTGGTTAGTACACTTGGCGGTTTTGTAGACGTATCGGGTCCTTTCTAGCTAAAGAAGACAGAACTCCGTGAACAACAAGCTGCGTCTAGTGCAATTAGCGGGCGAGGGCCGCGCGCGTCGTGCTCTCGGCGCGTGGCCGCATCGCGCCGCACTCGTGTTACGCGCAAAGGTGATCCCTTGCCGCTACGTTGCTTAGTGGAGGAGCGCCCGCTGCGAGGGATCCTGCGCGTGCAAGACAGGCCGCTCATACTGGTTAGTACACTTGGCTTTTTTGTAGACGTATCGGGTCCTTTCTAGCCAAAGAAGACAGCTCCGTGAACAACGAGCTGCGTCTAGTGCAGTTGGCAGGCGAGGGCCGCGCGCGCCGCGCTCTCGGTGCATGGCCTCATCGCGCTGCCCTCGTGTTACGCGCAAGGGACCACGCCGCTACGTTGCTTAGTGGAGGAGCGCCCGCTGCCAGGGATCCTGCGCGTGCGAGACAGGCTGCTCATACTGGTTAGTACACTTGGCGGTTTTGTAGACGTATCGGGTCCTTTCTAGCTAAAGAAGACAGAACTCCGTGAACAACAAGCTGCGCCTAGTGCAGTTGGCAGGCGAGGGCCGCGTCACACAGGTTAGTACACCTAGCGTATTTATAGACGTTACGTGTAATTATTTTCAGCCAAAGATGACAACAAGCTACGTCTAGTATAGTTAGCCGGCGAGGGTTGCGTACTCGGCGCCTGGCCGCATCGTGCCGCGTTAGTACTGCGCGCGCGAGATCATGCCGCTACGTTGCTTAGTGGAGGAGCGCCCGCTGCGAGGAACCCTGCGCGTGCGAGGTTAAGCTGCACTGGTTAGTGAGCGAATAAACGGCGTATTTACAGACGGGGCGCTTGTAACATCTAGTGTTGATGGCGGGAAACTGCGCACGTACGACAATGCCGAACGCGCAGGAACTGTTTCGCCCAACAGGACACAGGCTTCTCCCAAAGATTTCCACAACTGGTCCTGTGACCGCATCCAGCAACTTCGAACTCCTATATACTTCTGATTTCGTTGCGTGTCTAATCACAGCTTAACGTGACCTCCACTGGTTGGGTTTTTATTGGAGGTCAAGTAGATATTGAACCTTCGTCTTCTGCAGAAATGCCTTCCTGTGGCAGGAAGGCTCAAAGTCACCAAACTAAGATGTTCAGAGTAAAACGTAAACGTAATGTTTTATTTGCAGGAATAGCAGCACTGCCATCTGGCGAGCGTTTATCACCGCTTGACACATTCCTGGACCTTCTGACAGCCAAAGCGAGCCTCAATGAACTGGACTTCAACCTCATCATCGAGGCGACTCTAGCGCTGGTCCAACAAGAAACCGCGGCATGAAGAATCTTTAGCATTCCATATTTATCTCCACTCTTGCCATATCTTAAAACATTCCAGTACAATTACGTCGTAGGTTTTTTGTGAAGTTTATACCAAAACGTTATTTATTCATTTTATGTACTTAATTAGGATAATAGCGTAGGATTTAGTGATTGAGGGGAATATTTCAAATGCATGCCAAAATAAAGATGCCACGGCGCAGTTACTTATAGCTATCCAATCCTTCATTTCAGTTTTATTAGTAGCTAAGGTGTAGTGAAACCTGGCTATGCAGGATTTGTAGTAGTGGTCATATTTTTGCTAAGTAGGAATACCTTGGTGGATTGTTTATTTATAGATTTTGNAATTATGAACCGATTTGAACAAATCTTTTTTCTGCGTATAGGTAATACCTCAAGGGTGGTCCCATTTAAATTTAATAATAGAAAAAACAACCCCCAAGGGTGGAAAATTGGGGATGAACTTTTTTATACGCAATATCTCCGCCGATTATAAATCAATTTGAACGATTATTTTTTTGTTGAATAGGTATTATCAAAAGGGTGGTTTCATGCGAATTTGAAGAAAATATTTCACCCCCAAGGGTGGAAAATTGGAGATGAACTTTTTTATACGCAATATTTTCAATTTTTAGTTTTTTTTGTGTTCACGCATTTGAAGTCGGTTTTATTTTTTTTAAAAGTTAATTATTTGGATTTTTTTTAACTTTTAATAAGCTTCTCTCCATACTCCGTTGACAGGTTCTGATTTTCATTTCTACTCTATTTGTAAATTTCCAAGTTTGACTGGCGTATGTTAGCGATGGGAGAATACAGGATCCGTGACTATCTGTTTAATCTTAGTTGGCATTTCACTTTTCATAATTTCTTTTAACGTCCAAAATTTCTTCCATGCATTTGCAACTCTTCTTTCTATTTCTTGTTCGTTTCTCTGCTTATGAAATGACATTTGTTTGCCCAGATATATATAAGTGTCAACATACTCTAACATTTCATTTCCCAGGTAAACTGGAGTTTTGTTGTGGTTCGTCATTATATTGGTTTTGCTACGATTTATTTCCAAGCCAACCTGTTGACTTGCCGCGTGTAGAGCATTTATCATCGATTGCAATTCTGTTGTATTTTCGGACACTAAGACAATATCGTCGGCGAATCTCAAGTGACTAATATATTGGTTATCTATATTTAACCTTCGGCAGGCAACACTTTTTTTTGTATACGTAAAAGGCAACAGGGGTGACCAGTCACCCCACAAATATAATTTGAAATAAAATAGCTTTGTAATGAAAAATTAAACTTATTAATGATTAGATCTATTTTTTTGTTTCATTATAAAACTAAAAATGCTTTCATTTAACAGTTTATATGTATATTTTTAATAAATTAATTTTAAACATTAAGCACAGTTAAAGCAAATATCTTTTCGATTTTCACGGCATGAGGGTAGTTGACATTTTATACGAGATGTCATAACTTTTTTGTTCAGTTTTCTTTGACACAGCACTCACCTTGCCTGCTTCTATAACTTTGCTGAAGGTGCACCCTCAGGAGGTCCCTAGTTCATATTTAGAATGCCATATGTAATTGTTTTATAATTCTCGCATCTCTCGCAAGAGTTACTATATTTCGTCGAGGTGTTTGACTCCAAGGTGATGAAACCAAGAAGACCAAACATGTCTGTTCTTACATAGTAGCACATTTTGTTTGAATTGTGCTAGTAGAAAGTCATCGTCGTAACAATTTTCGCTATTGGAAATAAAGTATTCCTCCTCCGACTGAACTGAGATTATCGTCTTCAATTTTAGAAATCTTATTATCATCTGAGCAACGCTTATCATAGGAATTGACATCAGCAAGTCCATGAAAGTATTTTTCGATTTGATCATCCGAAAACAAAGCCATTTTTACTCCAAAACCAACCATTTACTTGAGCAGCACGAAAAAATAAAGTATACGTAAAAGGCAACAGGGGTGATGAGTCACCCCAGCAGTGTCAAAATATCAAAAACATGAACCTAACGCGATATGTTGACGCATGCGACTGATAGCTCTCCCTCCAATTAGAGAATAGACCAAACGACAGAAAGACACAACAACTGCAACTAAACGTATGAAGACTTTTTTGAACTAGTGGGGTGACTGGTCACCCCTGTTGCCTTCCGAAGG